TCCCTAGACAGATAGGCGCCAATGGATGACCATTGATCATGATAGCCAGGCTTAGCTAAGTGCATCCCCCTTTGGGAGCTGTCACTTATCAAAAGAAAACATCTTTAAATCAGCCTGCATGAATAGCTTCTCTGTGGCTGCACCACAGAGATGAACAGAGAGATGAGGCCTCATTTGGGAAGGCTCAGAACACTTAATTCTTTCTTATTAATAAGCATTGCCGCTACAAAGGCTAGAAGATTTCAACATGCTTAAGTATAACAGTTTGATCCAGGCACAGCATTCATGTTGTCCTCAGAGCTATGTACTGTACTGCATAGCCTGTGGGATACAGGATCACTGCTCCTACTGTTGCTCCTGCAGTGCGGAATAGCTCTTGAGCCAGCTGGTGGTAGTGATGGAAAGGGTGATTTACAGAAATGAGACCTGAATATGGAGGAATTGGACAGGAATCCTGGTTAGCATCTGGGGCCAAGTTCTTAAACTACTGAAACTGGAAGTGAGAAAATACTTCAGCAATACGTTTGAGACAGCCTGGGAATGTGAGCTGCAAAAGCTAGAAATTGGTTTACTGTATATTTGACCAAATGGAAATGAATGACCGATTTTTGCTCTTTATGCAGAGTTGTAGAAATCTGAGTTGTTCTCAGATCTCTTATCACTTGATGATTTTTGAATAATGTGAATATACTGACCATAAGTTGAATTCTAAACCTGTTCTAGAGCCCCCATTACCCCAAACAAGATAATTGAGGCGATTGTCTACTTTGCCATCCTGTTTCCCTTCTTAATGTGGACGTTAAGATCCTTGCCAAATTTCTAGCACTTCAACTGGAATCCATACAGACCTCCATTATCTGAACAGATCAAACTGGTTTTATTTTAGAAATGTGTATTTAGATGTTTCAACAGGGACACTCCCTTGTCTCTTCTGATGCAGAAAAAAGCTTGAGTAGGACCACGTTGAGTAGGATTACTAATTTAAGACCATGAATCAATTTGGCTTCGGTTCCGTGCCTGTGTGCACAAAATACAAAGCTGGTGACAGGGAACTGGGGAATCTGTATAAATATAATCTCAATATAAAGTTAAGAAAGCAGAGCTATGTCTCTCACACAGCTGTAGAAATCAAGGTGTGTTCCCCTGAACAAACACTCACAGACTACAGGGCATACCTATACTGAATATCTGTAAGATGAGTTCCTATTTAAGGATCCCAAAATGGACTTTAAAAATCTTGTTTGCTTATGTTACAGATTCTGAAGCACAGACTCTGAGGCTGGTGCTGGTGGGGAGGACTTGAGTGGGGAAGAGTGCAGCAGGAAACACCATCCTGGGCAGAGAGGAGTTCAGATCAGAGACCAGCCCCTCCTCACTCACTCTGAGCAGCCAGGAGGCACAGGGAGAGGTGTGTGGGAGAAGAGTCACTGTGGTCGACACCCCAGGCCTGTTCAACACTGAGCTCTCTGACAAGGATCTGAGAGGAGAGATCCAGAGAGCTGTCCAGCTGTCGGCCCCTGGACCCCACGCTGTCCTCCTGGTCATCCAGCTGGGCCGCTTCTCCCAGCAGGAGAAGAGAGCAGTGGAGACCCTGCAGGAGCTGCTGGGAGAGGGGGTGAGCCGGCACACGGTGGTCCTCTTCACTCACGGAGACAGGCTGAGAGGCAGGAGTCTCCAGCAGTTTGTCCAGCAGGATGAGAACCTGCAGAGCATCATTCAGGAATGTGGGGACAGGTGTCACCTCTTCAACAACACTGACAGGGGAGACGGCTCTCAGGTCAGGGGGCTCTTGGATTTGATAAAAGAGCTGCTTTGTGACATGGTTGAGAAGATGATCCTGATGGAGAAAGAGGCACAGATGCGCAAAATGGAAGAGAAACTGGAGCTTTGTAGACGTGAGGAGAAAAGAGCCAGGAAGCAGGCAGTGTTGGAGCAGTGTGGGGCAGTACAATAAAGCAGTGAGATGAAGATGTACAAACCTGCAGCCTGACTCCGGCCCTTTGGGAAATTTCTTATTTCTTTCTGGTTTTCAATAAAGTTTTTTCAAAGATCATTAGTGCTTTTTTGGACTGTGAAATGTGACCGACATTTTATTAAACTAATTGTACTTTTGAATTGGTAGATGTGGAGATGAAACTTCCAAAACTGTGTTTTACAGAAAAATTCGCTATTTTGCAAAGGATTAATCTGATACAAAAGAAATAAACTTTGTTATCTGTTTGTGGAGCAGTAGGGTGGGGGGGCGCTCCTCTACAGATAAAAGTTCCCAGATAGAGGATGTAAAAGTGTTTTAAGATGTGCTGTTGTTCAGTTAAATGTTAGACTGAGGTCATGATTACTTGGTCACTAATGATCCCGGGGTGCTGTCAGTGGGAGTGGGGGTTCTGACCCTGGTGTCTGACCGCTGGTCACTATCGATCCCGGGGTGCTAACAGTGAGAGAGGGGTGCTGACCCTGGTGTCCTGACATATCTACAGTAGGTGTCAGAGAATAGGCACTTGCTTGTCCAGGCTGTACGAGATGAATTGGAAAGAATCTCAAGTCATCTGTAACCTGACGAGTTAGACGAGTGAGAGGGGTACAGTGTGTGTTTTCAGTGGGAGCCACACACTACAAGTCTGTCTTTCTTATAGTGGACTCCCTGTTGATCAACCCTCCTGGTGACAAATTTTGATCAGCACAATGAGTCAACTACTGTAATGACTGTTTAATGTCAGTTAACTCATTACAAATAAGATTTACTTAATGTATTTGTTAATTTGTTGCAGTGCTGTTGCATTTCTTTGTATCCTCAGAAATGTATTTTGTACAGTATATATGAAATATATCTTAAAACTAATCAATATAAGTAGCATAATAATTAGGGCTTATCCTATCAAGTTAAATACTGTCTACAAACAGATGGTTGTAAAGAATGCCAAGAGCATTAAAGAGTGTGTGTGTGTTTCACCCCTTCCAGTGTGAATGTACTCTTCCCATATTGGAGACACCTCTGTTCCCAGGTGTGAAATTGTTCACCCCCTCTGCAATATCTCTCTCAGACAATGTGAAGTTATTCTCTCTGATCTGCTGAAACACTGCTGTATTGTCCTCTTTGTTGGAGATGTTTGTCTTTTGTTGTATTTTATGGCACTGTGCTGAAAAAAAACTTTCCCCCAGTGAATAATAAAGCTTGAACTGAAATTGAAAAATACTCTTAAACCATAAGTGTGCAATAGTATTTCCATTGTCTGCCTTATACCTGCTTTGATTATAGCTTTGAGTCTGTTTGGATACATCTCTACCAACTCTGCACACCTAGAGGGAGGAATATTTTCCCGTCCCCCCCTTACAGAATTGTTCAGGCTGTGTGGTGACTGTTGATGGACTGGACTCTTCAGGTCATTTTCCAAGATTCTCACTGGGATTGAGGTCAGGGCTCTGACCAGGCCACTCCAGGACACTCACCTCCCTGTCCTTCAGCCACTGTACGCTTGCTTTGGGTCATCGTCATGTTGAAGGTGAACCATCTTCCCATGTTCAACTTCCTGGCTGAGGGCTGCAGGTTTTCTTCAGGAATTTGCCTGTGTTTTTCACCATCCATTTTCCCTTCTGTCCTGACAAGTGCCCCAGTCCCAGCTGGAGAGAAACAGCCCTACAGCAGGATGCTGCCACCACCGTGCTTTACTGTAGGAATGGTGCTCTCTGGATGGTAAGATGTATTGGGTTTCACCTGACGTACCGTTTTGCATTGACCACAGCACCTCTGCCACTTGGCCACAGAATCTTTAAGGTGCTTTTTAGCAAAACCATCCTCCCTCCTTTCTTTAAATCACCTGGCTGAGGAAGTGTCTGCACCATCAGACCCCCTCACAAACAAGTACTGAACCACGAAGACAACTTTGCAACAGTGATGTTAGGAGGAGAGAGGGGTGGTAGAAAAATAAATGTAGTTGTATCCTGCCAGAGATATTATATGAGCAGGGAATAACAAGTCCAATATTAGAATCGGTCTTACACTAGAACTTCTGTTCAACAACACCATTTCAGTTGTTTGGTCAAAGTTTTAATAAAGACAAAACAAGCTGGCAAATATAAAGAGCTACTATGCTTAGTACTTTGTCTTTATTTTGCATGGCTGTCACATCCTCTGAAAATCATCCAGACAGACTTTGAACAGAGCTAAGAGCTTGTTGGTTTGGCAGCGGTTTCACCAGAAGTGGGCAGAACACGTGAAGTGTAGAATAAAGGTGCATATTTAAAGTGGGTGATGGAACAGGCAGTGAACACATGGCAGCACTAACATTTAGAATCAGTAGCAGGACCGTAGTCTCAGTGGAAAACACTCTAATGATCCAGAAGAGCAGCCTGATACAGAAGCAGAAAATAGCTGCCGTTTGCTAAATGGAATTGATGATAAGATTTTATTGTCCCCTGAGGGAATTTTTTTATGGACACCCAGCACTCCTGTACATTTAGATAGAATATAATGGAAAAAAAGAAGAAAAACATTGCACATTATACAATTACAAAAAATAAAGAACATTGCACATCACTCTATTGCACATGTACAGTATAACACATAGCAACAGTAACTTTTATAACATCACAAAAACATATTGCACTGAAGTGGGTTGTAAGAGTCAAAATTGTGTTGGAGAGTGGAAGACAGGATTGTTTGTATCTGTTTGACTCACATTTGGGAGCCCTAAAACGTTTGCCAGGAGGAAGAAATTGATATTCAGAGTTGAGGATGTGGGAAGAATCTGATATAATTTTTCCTGCCTGTATGATTAGGGATTTTTCAAAGACTGTCTGTATGGAGGGGTGCTGTTTCACTCCCATGACCTTCAAATCCGTCTGGATGAGGCGGTAATTTGTGATTTTAAATGAACTGATAGATGACCAAACCCCACTGTAATACCATATCTGATCATGCTCTAGATTACAGCACGGTAGAAGAGCAGCATTACTTCCTGTCGAACCCCAAACACTCTTAGTCTTCGCAGGAAATATAAGCGCTGCTGATCTTTGGAGCAAACACTCTCAACATGAGTAGTCCAGCACAGGTGACTGTCTCTGTGTACTCCTGGGTACTTATATGAGTCGACCTGAGTGATAAATTCGTTGTGGATTACTGCTTGTGAGTGATCACCAACTGCTCTGGGATCAGAAACTGTTTTAACATTCAGAGTGAGGCTGTTGTTGTCACACCATTGCACAAACCTTTGGATTTCTGACATCTACACAGATGAGCTGCTACCCCTGTGCATTAAGCCAAGAACAGCTGTATCATCTGAGAATTTGAAAATAAAGCTGCTTTGACTACTGCTTCTACAATCATTTGTATAAAGTGTGAACAGAACTGGTGAGCTCACACAGCCCTGAGGGACACCTGTGCTCATAGACCGTGACTCGGAAAGAGTTTTGTTGACCCTGACATACTGTGTGCGGTTTGTTAAAAATGAATGGTACCATCTTACAATGTTATGGTTAAGAGACATTTGCTTCAGCTTACTAATCAATAGATGGGGCTTCAGCGTATTAAATGCAGAGCTTAAGTCCACAAACAGCATCCAAGTGTTGTTATCTGAGGGACAGGGCTTTTTTATGAGAACGTATCCAGGCAGAACTGCCAAAAAAGGAGGGAATACCTGCTGCCCATATGGCTTGAAGCTTTGGGAGGGGGAAGAGTCTTGAGCCGATACTGCACCTTTTGAAGCCAACCATGAGGGATGGGTGTGGAACCCATTGTTGTAGCTACCTAGACACGAGCACTAGGGACAGCGTGAGCAGTGAATAAGAAAGCTCAGAACCAGTGCAGGCTGATGCCATGTGCTCACACCTGAAGGACAGAGGGAGAGTCAGTGATCAGGGGCTCCTGTGGTGTAAAGAGAAAAGAGGAATTGGAAAGAGAAGAGATGAAAGAGATTTTAGCTGGGGCTATCGATGCAGTGGGCTGGATGCTTGACCATAAAAGGAGAAAAAGGAGGAAAGAGAGAGAGAAGAGCAAGTGGGATTAGAAGGAAAGTGAGAGCGAAGGAGAGGGGTGGAAATATGTAAATGGGTATTTGGAGTTTCTGGAAGGCTTGCTGATGTCAGGAGATCTGAAAGCAAAACATGGAAGGCATGGTGAGAGCAGACCCACTTGTCTTCAGTGGAGAAGAGGCTGAAGAGACAGTAAAGCTCCTCTGGTCTTGGATGAATGCAATGAAGGTAAGATCCTAGCAACAAAGTGATGAAGCAAGATGTGGAGTGCTCGAAACATGCTGTGTGCAGCCAGGGAGCTTCTATGCCCAGGGAGGCAGACGTGCAAGATTAAATTTTGCACGTAACCAAAATTATTCTGCTGGTAGGATCACACATTCCCTCTTCTCTCAACGACAGACTACTCTTCTTCTAAATTCTCTCTATTCATTGTAGGTTTCATCTCACACCTCTCTACACCTCTCCTGACTTCACACCTCTTGACTGGCCTCTCTTTCTGTCCCCTGCTCCCGCCTCTCACTCCTCCTCCCTCCCAGCCTTTGTTCTCCCGCTACACTACCTTTGCCTACTGCCCTGTCTCTCTCACACCTGGAGAAGGCTCCACGGCCGAAACGTTGTGTTCTCTTTCTTCTCTTTTCAGCAGGGAATAAACCTATTACTTGTTCCTTTGTAGCCTACGCATGCTGACCCAGCTCCCCACCTGAAAGATTAAATTTTGACCTGAACCTCTGCCAAATCGCAGGCAGTACGAATTGAACAGAATGTATATTTTTGTAATGATAATTAGTTAAAAAATAAAAAAAACAGAGT